CAAAGAAGAATGACAGTGAACGGCCGACGCAACGATGGCAATGACAATTCAGCTGATAGTTTCTGGGATGAATCTCCTGGACGAGACTCAGCAGCGGATGACGATGAAAACAGGCTCTCTGGATGTGCCTTTGAATGAGGATGCTGTGGAGGCAGATCGCACATCGCAAGTTATCGTGCCCAAGTAACTTTTGTAACAGGAGTAAGGCAAAACTCAACATTTGCTGCAAAACAAAAGATCCAGTAGCGTTCCCGTTGGTCACAATGGGATCTTTGTCAAAGAAGGATGGATCTGTCTTGGCATTGGAAATTCCCAATTCTAATCGAGCCTTGGACCGACATGTCGTTTCGTTGCCATTGTTGTTGCCATTTTTATTGCTCGATGTCTTGTCCCCTTCCCCCAAAATTTCCCCGATGAATAGGCTATCATAAGGCGGTCCGAAATATTGCCTGTCTACCGCAAGATAAAAGTTTGTGGTTTCATTCTTGTTGGCGTCGTCCTGCAAAACGGTTCGCACACCCCATCTCCCCGACATCCATTTTCCTTCTTCGTAACCCTCATCGCATTGTCGAAAGGACCCATCTTTGTTTAATTTCAGGAGGATTTCTTGCAGCTGCGTTTCTTTGTTGTTGGATGCCTGGATCAAATCATCCACAATTCTTCGTCTTTTTGGAATTTCTTTTTGTTTTTCTTGAATTCGTAACCGCCAGATGCCTGGTAATCGTTTTCGGATGTCCATGGAGAATCCACTGACTGCTCTTAACCAACTGTAGTCGATATGCCAGAGTCCGAGAAGTACCCATATATTCCGTTTCCATCTCATCGTACACGGCCTTGCAATCGGAACCAGGAATATCCAACAAGGGTATCCAACCGGCAGGGATATCTTAATCGAAACGAAACCTGCCCCTCTAAGAAATATATAATACGGTATGGTGGCTACAGCTTTGTAACAAGGACAACACTCAAATAGAAATGGGTAATAACTGGCTTCCTAGGAGCTACCAGGCAGAAGCTACTAGCTAGCTAGCTTGTCTAGCTCTCTCCTGCTTTCTGGAACTTTTCTTCCTTTTAGAAAGGATTTTAGCCGTTGTGGATTGATCCGATTCTCGTTCCATTGAATTCGATCGTTGCGCCCCGCGGAGTCCCATTTTTGGCCAAGTTCCGGCGATAATGGAGGAAATTGTACGTTTTTCGTCCAATCATTTTTTTCTAAAGCAATGGGCACTAATTCTTTTCGTTCCTGCTAAGTCTTCGGCGAACCTCCAAAGCTGTTGCCTTGTATTTTGTGCGACAGATCGCGCGTCCTCTTTTTTGCTTGCCTCATTCGTTCCACCATTTTACATTATTTCATGGGCGTTGTTATTGGACAAGGAAGAAGGAAGAGACCAACAAGGCTACAACAACCACCAACACTGCTGTATCTGTCGAGGAGGAGAAGACAAAACAGCAGCTAAAGACTATCCGTCAGCTACCCTTGTCCATTGATTGCTCATTGCTCAGATACCCTTGATTTTTGGAGGCGAATTGAATCCATTTAAAAACACCAGTTTAGTAAATAATCTACAGTCGGCAAGATGAGTGATGATGTGACAGCACCGTTGGAGTCCTATGACGAGGATGTTTTCGTGGATAGTCTGGAAGATCCAGCTAAGAAGTATGCTGGCATGATGAAGAAGGCGGCACCAGTAGCGCCCAAACAACCCATGGCACCTATGCCAGAAGATGAAGAGCTCTTGCCTCCACAATTCTTCGGTTCCAAGCTCATGTGGCTGGGCTTGTTTTGGGTTACCTTGGTAGCAGTTGTTATTGTTGTGGCAGTCCGGGCTACTCAAAGTGATGATCCCACTTCTGCCCCAATGACAATGGCTCCCACAGTAGCCAATGCCACCGTTATTCCGGATGCAAATGCCACCGAAATTCCGGATGCAAATGCTACCGATATTCCTGCTACCCCAGCTCCCACGGCTGGTCCTCCTGTGAGTGCCCCTGTGGCAACCACAATGGCTCCCACAGTTGCTGCCACTGTCCCACCAGTGGCGACCACAATGGATCCTACCGATGCTGCAACCGTCCCTCCCGAGGAAACCACAATGTCTCCCACAGCCGCTGCTACCGTCCCACCGGTGGCAACCACTCTTTCCCCGACAGCAGCTGCTACTGGAACTCCTACAATGATTGCAGTTGAAACTGGAGCTCCTACAATGATCGCAGTGGCTACTGGAACTCCTACAATGATCGAGGTTGCTACTGGAACTCCTACAATGATCGAGGTTGCTACTGGAGCTCCCACAGAAACTCTCTTGGAGGCCACTGTCGAGCCGACGACTGCTCCAGTCGCTGCTACGGATGTACCCGCCACTGATGCTCCAGTAGCAGAAACAGGAGCACCCACCATAGCTATCACCCAGCCACCCACTATCCTCACCGAAGCACCCACGGTACCGTTGACTCTTATCGACTACCTACCAGACTACAGTGTGGAAGCTATTTTGAATCCCACGAGCCCCCAAGCATTTGCTCTTCTCTTTGTGAACTATGACGTTAATATTGACACACGAACACCTGAGCAGTTGGTACAGAGATTTGCATTGGCCACTCTGTATTTTGCGCTTGGACGGTCGTGGACGCAAGGGAGTGTCTTGCCTTCGGAAGAAGAGTGCACGTGGTTTGAAGACACGGGCAGTTACTGTAACGAGGATGGATTTCAGGAAGGCCTCTTGTTGGAAAACAACAACCTGGAGGATGGACCCATTCCTCCAGAAATTGGCTTGTTGACATCTCTCAAAGTTGTGGACATGTCCGACAATGAGATTGTGGGAGATATCCCCACCTACTTTGGGCAATTGACAATCCTAGAGACTTTGAGACTGGCACGGAACGAACGACTGATGGGAACCGTCCCAACCGAGCTCGAAAATATTCCAACACTGCAAGAGTTGGATCTTTCTGGTTTGGAATTTGTGACGGGAACCATTCCAGAGGGTCTGTGTGATGTCCCGAACCTTTTGTTTGACTGTTCACCAACACTGTGTGGTTGTGATTCTTGTCAGTGCGAAGCTCCGCAGTGAGTGCGAGAGACAAGACGAGACGATGATAGTCTTATCGTAGTTAGGACGGTCCCCTCGGTTCAATGTTTATCTGGTTGCGTGCGTAGAGGTAAACTGTTATAATATCTACTAATATCTGATTTTGTTACACTGAGTGCTTGCCATCTTGTTCCTTACCGACATCTGCCCACTCGGAAGCAATTTTTGGTCTGATACCCCATGCCATGCCAAAAAGCTGACTACCCGCCTTGGCGATCTATCTGATCTCCCACCTTTCACCTCGACAAAGCTTGTGAGGTGGCCGAGTGTTGATTTGGGTGCCGGTAGCCAGAGAGTTGCAACACCAGGCAATCGAGACTTACCTCTTTGAAAAGATATCGAGACCATTTATCCAAAGTAGTCCGAAATTGTCATCCTATGCACTTTCAGGCACCCGGCACGGCACACATTAACAATTGTCAACATGGGGACTAGCTAGACGTTGCTGACAAAAATTGTAAACTAAAAACCCGTCAACCTAATTTTTTTAAAGACACCCAACCACTACAGAAAACTGAGTAATGAAACAGAGAAGCACAAGCAAGCCGCCAGCAGACTCGAGAAGACAGCTGGACTTGATGATTGCCCTTCCACACTAACGGCAACATTGCCGCCAGTGTCGATTTCAACATCCTTGGGGTCAGTCGCTCCGTTTTCCTCGGATCCAGCTCCAGTCGGATCAGTTTCACTGATTTCAATGGACCCATCCACTCTCGATACATCCGCACCAGGACCAAATATGAGATCTCCTTGCAGATATGTCCTCGTAACATTTGCTGTGGATATTTCGTCGACCGGCATGTTGAAAATGTCCTGGTCAATCACCGCCAGATCGGCAAATTTTCCAACCTCGATCGAACCCGTAGTGTCATCGTGCTGGAGTAGATATGCCGGGTTGATTGTAAGCATTGGGATGACAGTCGCTACGTCAGGAAACGATCTGCCGTCGGGTCGAGTCAACACTGTTTGGATCTTTTCCAACGGCGACAGCGTGTCGGCATCCCAATCACTGCTGAGGGTAATGGTCGCATTGGCCTCGTACAATTCGAGGGCGGGCAATAATGTGTCTGCTCGCGTGCGTCCCAAGAACCCTTCCATTTTGGTTCGGTACTCTGGCGTGAGAGAGGACGGTGCCAATTGAAAGTCGGCCACGACGCCCAGCTCGGCAAACCGCCGCCGATCCTTTTCGTCCACGAGGTAACAGTGTGTGATGCGATGGGGTGGTCCAGTCGTCTTGGCTCCTCCTTGGACGAACTCAATGGCCGACAGAGCCAATCCAGCACCCGCATCACCCGTGGTATGGAAATGCAACTGGAAATCCGAATTGTCGACGAGCGATTTCGCCACAAAATTGAGTGTTTCATTGGACCCAAAATATTCAAAGCCCGACCAATTTTCTTCGTTCCGATAAAAGTCAAAGGGGTCGTACGTATAGGGTTCATAGAGCTTGCCCGTTGAAAGAGACAAAATACCGTCGACATAGATTTTGGCTTGGTTGAACCGGACGAGTTTGTTGGGGTCATTGCTAAACTTGGAGATCATGACCCGTATCTGGTCGACCGTATTCGAATCGGGGTATACGTAGAGTGCATTGGAAGCTCGGACGGTGAGTACCCCTTCCTCCTCGGCCCTTTCCCAGGACTCTATTTGAGCTTGATGATAAAAGCCACCGGCATCGGATACCGTAGTGATACCGTTACTCCTCAGTTCATCGAGAGCATCCAGCAAACTTTCATAGGCAACTTGTTGGTTGGCTTCCGTGTTTGGGAAAGCCGCTTCACGGAGTTTTTGTTGGGCGTTTTCCGTGACAATTCCAGTATGAAATCCGTCCGAGTCTTTTAGAATATGCCCACCGGGTGGATCGGGACTATTGAAATAACCGACAGCCTGAAGTGCCGCGGTATTGGCCAAACATCCGTGTCCAAACTGGTCCAAAATGACGACGGGCTGATCGGGCCAACTCTCATCGAGAACGGTAATCGGATACCTCGCCGTCAAGTTGGTCTCCAATTCCTGGACAATCGCCTCGAGATCCACCCCGGCTCCCATGACCCATCCTTCGCCACCAAATTCGCCATAGTCGGTACAGTCGGGTTCATCGAAATAATAGGGAATATCTTCAATGAGAGCGTCGGCTTCCACAAAGCATAATTGGGCATTGATACCGGCTTCGACGGCGTGCAAGTGGGCATCTTGAAATCCCGGTAGAACCAGTTGACCTTCGAGGTCTGTCAAAGTGTAGTCTGGAAACTCAGACGTGAGATCGTCATAAGTTCCCACACCAACAATGATACCATCGGCGTCAATGGCAATGGCTTCCGCACTGGGCTGGGAAGGGTTCACTGTGTAGACAATGGCGTTGTACAGAATCTCTTGGGCGGATACCCCTGCCGCCAATAATAAGACTGCTGCCAGTGCCCTAGCAACAAACATATTCATCATTGTCCAAGATTGTGACATGTATTTTACAACAGTCAGTCAGAGACGGATAATAATGGTCAGGACCTTGTGCTGTCTTTTGGTTGCGTGGGAGCTTGAGCCCGGTTTGCTTGGTGCTTGCCGCCTGTCCCAGAAGAACAAACATGTCAGGAGAATTAGATCTAGCTCCCCCTTCCAATGCCGTTACGAGAAATTTCGTTGCGGTCGGAGTCTCAATTTATGGCGCCTGTTTGTCCATGCCTATGTAAATCTTTCAGTCATGTACCGGATAAGATTTATGGCTCACACAGCTTTACCGTGGAGCGTGGATTGTTGCCATCCATCACAGTGACAATGGGACAATCATTGCCAGTGGTTGGCTTGGTGTCTTCTTCCACTGTCAAGAAGTCCTGAAGCTTGACTGCTATAGCTTCTTCCAAAACAAGTTCTGAACGTTGGACTTCAGCTTCTTAGCTAAAGACCAGAATAGCGGTACAACCTTCGTTGCTACGCCTCGAGTCCTATCGGGCTTTCCTTGGGTGTCATGAGGCGTTCTCATCAAACTCAACCTGTGCTTCTCAACATTCACTACATATGACACGCCCTTACCAGCTTCATTCCATCGAGTTCGTATTCGGTACGCCGGAGTATCAACTTTAGCATCCCCGTTTGCCACCACTTTTACTTTTTCAGTTTACCGATTTTATTGCAGTGCTGCCTGGGGTTCGTGGTACTATAGACTTCGGCTTCGCCTTCAGTCGTCGGTGGATCGGCGGACGGCGAGATTAATCTTTAATCTATCTACCCTTTTCGCACAAATCTAATAAAAGGAGAACAACAACATAAGGGAAAAGCAAACAAAAACCAACTTCCATTGCATCTACGACACCGGTACTATGAAGACCACGCTGCTTGCTGTTTGTATCTTGCACTGGACAACTGCAGTCTATTCAGATCTCATCCGCACTGGTGCCGATCGTCGGCTTACTAATCTCAAAGTTCCCAAGATTGCATTTCAGAGAAACTCGCCAGTCTTGAAGCGCGTTTTCAAAGGCTTGAAGCAGATTAAGAATGTCAAACAAGCCGCAGGTTCACCAGTATCCAGTCCGTTTAGCCCCGAACAAGATGACGCAGACTGGCCTGGGGTCTTTCCAGTTGCTGGCTCCAACGACGAACTCATTCTGAACATTCGGTTGGATGAATACCCAGGAGAAGTGGTGGTCACCACACGAACCGTCTTCCCCGTGCCCCCCGTAGCATCCGTGGGGACAAGCCCATCCAAGAATGCGGTTGTAAAGCCAAGCGGCAACCAAACGGACGTGGCGGGAAGCATATGGACGACACCCATTGATTCTTTTAACGAAAGAGAGGCTTTGTATCAAATTGAAATTGCAGATGAATCTGGTGATGGCATTTGCTGTGGACCGTCAGGAAATGGATGGTAAGACTACCTCAAAGAGGGAAGTTGCGAGTGTTGAAGTGGAGTGTGCACTCATTTACATCCTTTGTCTCCATCTGTTGCAGGATCACCGTCACGGGAACCAACGAGACTGTTCTTTGGAGCGCTGTTGGCAACTATACTTACGTCGTAACCGTATATCTTTGGAAGGACAATAAGGGCGAGATCTCTATTGTCTATCCCCAAGAAAGCGATTCTGTGCCGCCGCCCACCGCGCCACCAATCCCGTCCGTTGTGCCCCCCACCGCCGCACCAACCCAGGTTGGAAACTGTAGTTTGTGTCCCATTGGCTCTAGCCCCACTCCTACAAAACAGTACACCCTCGGCAGCTCTGGTGTCGTCTTCAATTGTGCCGACATGGAGGACTATTTCTTAACCTTCACTATCGATCAGTGCGCCGATACCGAGGCAGGAGGGGACATGGAGGAGTTTGCATCTTACTTTCGCGCCCTCTGTGAATGTCCTGGTTACGGACCAGGCTGCGCCTGCAATGGCAATCAAATGTCCGACCTGAATAGCGTCATCCCAGACTCAGAATATACCTGTTTTGACTATGATGAAGCATTGATGAAGGAGACTGATTGCAGTGAATGGAGTAGCTCGGGTATTGACTTAGTTGAAGACTTTTGTGGGTGTCCAACTGGACAATTTGAATGTCCCTTCGACAATCCGTGGGACGTTGAGGCCGAACCAGAAGACGACCGAGCCATTGAATTGACTGTCTACACTGACCGAAGCGAAACAACCTGCCTCTCAGGTTTGTCCTGCGATCCTTGGTCTACCTCTGAAGATGAGCAAGGAACACTGTATTTTCTTTATGGTCAGGAGATTGTTGAAATTGGTTTGGGATGTCCAGGGTATGAGGCAGTCCAACGCCGCGGCGATCAGGTCTGTATCTCGTACTATGTAAGTTGAGCAACTGAAAGAACCAATCCCGGAAATCTATCTTGCTTTGAGCCTCAAGTTTTCTCATTTGCCTTGCGATGCGATGCCATGCCATGCCATGCAGCTGGAGGAAGCTTCCGACTATAGTTCCTCAGGGTCATGTCTCGAAACATGTATAGATATTTTGAGCTCCTCGAGCATTGAAGTCAAAGAGGAAGAATCGACCAGCTGCCCTTACGGTATGTGCTTCAATAATAAACAAAAGGTTGCGTGCCGCTTCGAAGTCACTTATGCTGATGAGGACGACTAGCCAGGGAACGTAACATTTGGTCGGAGCATTTCATTTCCTGCATTCTAAACTGGTATCTCTCGAGATCTCAAGGACGGTCACCACAGAGCTATTGGTATACTTTTAAAATCAAACCATGCATGTATAGTAGCAAAGAATCAAACCAAGCTGTCGTGTTCGTAGAGGTACCGTACGGTTGGATTAATGCCAATAGGTGGGCGGTGCCTATTAAGCACAAGCAAAGAGCGATTTTGGACCTTGCTCGTTTTTATGGATGGGCCACATGGCCTAGGCCTGCAGTTACATGTATCATACCCATAGGCCAACCAGTGCTTACATGGCTACAAGTAAGTAAAAATAATACATACCTTCACAGCAGACTACTAGTACCGTACATTTATGACATTGTGATGATGCCTTTGACCGAGGGCCAAAAGATCTGAAACGTGGATACTTTTTGAAGCTCACCAGGCCGAACCCGACAGCTGTCCTCAGAACTCAGAATTCCACAGAAAAATGACACTCGACACCCGACACTCTCTTTGTTCATCATCGTGCTCGACAATTCCTTTACAACTTTCTCTAATATATAGATGATAACCATGATCTCCCGTTGCATCTTCTTTATCTGCTGGTTCGGCGGGCTTTTGACAAGAGCCAGTAGTTTCTCCATTGAGCGAAAGAACCTGCCTGGTGTCTGGAAGCTCAAGTTCAAAGAGGACTGTGAGGTTTCTTTCGTCAAGAAGAAGACCGGGGAGTCCATTCTGATCCGAATTCAAGAAGACGGTTATTTTCAACAGTGCGATGACGATGATGATGGTGACTATGGTCCCAAGAAGCTCCATGGTTGCTGGGAATTTGAAGATTCCGAGCTTCAGCTGGCATTTGACCGGAAATGTCATTCTTCCCCAGCAGACGTCTTGCTGTCCGGGAAAGTATCAGGAGAAGAGGACGCCACTCGAATCCCCAATGGTATTGTTTCCGAAGGAAAATTCATGTACCCGACAACCCACGCGGCATTCTTTGATCAGGTAATGGCAACGTCGGAGCAGACTGGCAAGTTTTCGCTAAAACAGATTATGGGATTTAATCAACTCATGTCGCTGACAACTATTGGTGGCACTAAAGATGAAGAAGAAGAAAACCAAACTCCAAAGTACACTGTGTCAGATTTCTTTGATCGAAAATTCTTCATGACCATTGTTCCGATTGAATGCAAAATCAAACCACCCAAAGAATGGGACAAACAAAAGCGAAGTTGGTACAATCCACTCGACGACCAAGCCGCCGATATTCGTACCATGCCAATACAATTCTTTGCCAATTCCACATTTGAAGCAGTCGGGGTGAACAAGATTTTGAGAGGAAGATTTGAAATCACTAAGGACAACAAACTGTGGTTCCGCGTATCCAGGTTTGGAATGGGACGAAGCGTTCCCGGCTCAGTATATAGTGAAGGCATTGGTCTATCCCACGAAGATGAAAGGACCTATGTCGGCACGATCGAAGAGCAAAGTGATGATCGAGAAAGAAGGACTCTGCGTGTGGAAGGAAAGGTGACCTTTGGTAATGATATGGGCTCAGATGCAAGGCCGGAGCCCGTCGGCACATTCTTGATGCATGAAGTCGATGATGCGTCGCTGGAAATGAACGAGGACGAAGACGCTGAAGCGAACGAGGACATTTTTGATAGTGTATTTGAATGAGTTAGTTTGACAAAGAAATTTAGCACTTCCTGAAAGACACGGCAGTGCTACCGTATAGAAAAGCAAAGTTTCCCACTGGTTAGCTGATCGCTTTTGTTGCAGATGTACGGTACCGGTAGTTTCACTCATGCACCATTATTGCTAGACAGGCCGCTTTAGTATTCGTTAATCTCGCCGTCGTCAAGGCAGGGACTGCTAGTGCTGTACAATTTGCTAGCTAGGCACCACCGAATCACTTTGCTTGCACTTTGCAATCAGATCTGTGCGAATGTTGCTACCTCAGTAGCTGTGGTTGATCTGATTGCCTCGGTTGTTAGAAAATGCAGAAGCTTCAACAGCAATGCCAGTCATTGTTGGCTATTGACTGGAGTAGTTGCGTCTTGTCTGCCTTCATCTACTTCGCCAGAACATGGATGTTGATTGCCTTTGCGTCTGTTTGCCAGCATTTAGGCTGTTTCCCTCTTTTGCATGGCGCCATCTCTCGAATGTCAAACCGACACTCTGAAAAGATTTCCAAGCCTTGTATATTGCTCAGGACTGAGTTGATCTCTGAGGATGTGTCCAGTGAAAACCACACCTCTTCATTGGTTTGGTTGTCTTTGATGAATCCAAAGCTGCCACGCTCGGATGGAAGCAACAACGTCACAACACCGCTGTTGGCTGTGCTTAGAGTTCGGCCATATCCTGCTCTTGTTGGCCACCAACGATTCACAATGATCTTGGTCAGAAGTGTTAGCCCAAAATAGTCAGCAATGGCATACAACTGAAGCATGTGGGTTCGGAGAGAGGAGGCCGTATACTGTGCACATTGTTCCAGCCCAACCAGCCTTCCTGTTGCCACCCAATAGAACACACCATCCAAATACGGCGCATAGAGCTCAGAAATGGCCAACTCAGTGGTCCCTGCAAGGTATTCGGTTCCCAGAACGAAGCGTGAGAGTGCCGAACCCGCCGCCTTTCCTCCCTCGTCCAGCCACGATGCAACAATCAGTTTCGGTTTCCCATTGATGCTCAGGCTTTGAAAGTCGCTAGGGCGGTAGTAGGGAGAATGCAAACAGGACTCCACCAAGGCCCTGTACTTCCCTTGCTCTTCTTGCAGTAGTAATCGCTCCTCTTCCTCCATCATTTTGGCATTGGACCTTACTTTGTGAAATGCAAGCCGCAAGGTTTTCAGTGTCGTTATGCGAGTCACGACAGGAATTTTGCAGGTTGGCGGGTGACGAGTCTTGCTTCAGAACGCCCCACTTCACGTTGATGCTGCGCCAAAAGAGGAGGACCATTCTGTCCATTCGATTCGTCCCCATCACATGGTCGCACGAATAGAGCGAGCACCTGTAGTCTAGGGTACCAGGTACCAGCTTCGTGCATATCGTACGGCAATGTTTGATCTGCGGACGTTCTGGTCCAGCATTACCGATATTCCTAAAATCATGGATGCAGGGCATCAGCTAATCAGCCCAGATCTATTCGATGACAAAAGCTTGCGGCTCCATGTATAATGCATGTTTATTTATTTATGATTCTTTCAAGTTTCCATGTATCTTTTTTATCAAAAACAGTATATACAGCCCGAGGCTGCCTGTTTCCACTCACGATCTTAATTTTTACGTTTACTCATCTCCGCCACCGACGAGGGTGGTCCTCTGCGATCCTGGCGGCATGCAGCTTCGTGCCACCGATTCAAACACCTTTTCAATTTCAGAAGCGCAACGCGTGAAAGGGTAATTCCAGAACCCATAGCGCTGATTCTTAATGAGTTCAATGAAAGTCTGCGAATGGAACAACAATAAAAGCAATTTAGCAAAATGGAACCAAGCCAACGTAAGCACAAACACAAGAACAACAGTATCATTCTTACCACCAGCAATCCCCAGGGATGGGGACGATGAAGGATGAGCCGTTCCAAGAGCACACGAGTGACTTGCTCTTTCACGGCGACATTCTTGGATTCACTGAACAAGAACAGCATCACGCACGAGAAGTAGTGGGTGTGGCTAGATGGGTAGCGCAACTGATTGGCAATTGCATTGAGGCAAATGTAACGCCCACGGTCATCTAGCTCCATCAACTTCTGCAATACTTCCATCTCGGGTGTATGCGATAGCGAAATCTGGTTGTTTTGGAGGCGGGCAAGAGCATGAATTCCGATGTAGAGCACCAGAGAATTCACTTTGGGCGCATCCACTTCAGTGGTGCCTTCCTTGTACAACAGAGCCGGCAACCCTGTAAGAAATGCTCGCCTCTGCCCGTCCTTCAAATAAGCATCCAAATGTCCCCTCAAACTGTCAATCGGTCCCAAGACGTTTGAGAGAATCGTAGGACTCTGAGAGATTTCAGGTAGCAGGTCGATCTTGAGGTTTGGAGTAAACGGATCTGGTGGTAACATCCCCTTGGGGTTAGCGGAAAGGACGATGTTGCGCAACTGGACACAATTATCTGGGATCACATTGCAAAAAGATAGGTGATACCCAGCCAAGAATGACGGAAAGTCGTGTAGAAGCACCAGTAGTACGCGCAACGTCCCTTCGTAGAGCTTTTTAATAGCTGGAGTCAACTCAGTCTTCCTGAGGTAGGGTTCAAGGAACAGGAAGTGGTCGACAAGAAGTTGCTGTGCCAGGTTCCACCCTTTCTGGCCTGGTAACAACAAAAGATTCGGCAAATAGTGACGGTGCGACACCAACTCCAGCCAGGCAAACGCAAAGCCTTTTGTGCAAATTTTTTAGGCAAAGGTGGAGTCTTCGTGAGACGGAGAAGCGTAAAAACGAAGACGTACGAATCACGAAAGAACTTACCTGGCATCACGAGAGGCTGCGATACGTGGAAGGCGGCACCAAACACGTTGAGAATGGCAGGTCGAATAGGCTCCAACATGGGACCAGGCTTATTCAAATCCATGACAAGATTGAGGAGAAGACGGAACCATGGCCTCTGGTCCCACTTGCTTGGCTTTTTCTTAGCTTTCTCGCAATCCCACATCATGGTGCGAACAAGCACACCGAGAATCTTGTTCAAAACGCCCAAACGTTGCTGGCCAATCTGCTCCGGAGTTCCTCCGTTGTGCATGTGCTTGAACATCAGCACAAGGAGGCTCGAGTAGATATCGACAAAGGTGTAATTGAGGGCAGCCTTGGAACCATCCACTCCACCAGTGGCAGACTTGAGGACAGCATCCACAACCACGAGGGAGGAAACCCTAAAGAATCGTTCGGTAGATTCTTCGACTTTGCCGACTCCGAATTGTTGCAGAAGCTGAAGGTACTGCGCAAACGTCTTCTCGTTGGCTGAGGCCTCGCTGTGAATGCGAATCCACCCATCCAACAACGATGTAACCTGCTGTCTGGCATTGGCCGGGTCGCTGCGGGTGAAGACATCAGTCGCTTCCGTAACCTTTAAAGCGGCCGTTGAGAAGTTCGACAACGACAAAGACGACAAGCTGCTGCTTTGTGGAAGAGATACGCTTGTCTTTGGCGGCTCGCTGCTGGCCACTGGGCTATGGATTCCATTCTGATGTGGTTGCTTTTGAGACTGAAGAGACTGCTGCTGCTGTGGCTGAGGGGGTTGCATTGGAGGCTGCTGCTGTGGCTGACTTTGAGTTGGAGCGCCACCTACACCAGCACCCCCAAGGCTGCGAGTTTCCTCGAGCATTCTGAGAATCGGCTTTCGGTAAGTCTGTACCATCTGCGGAGGCGCCTGACTTCGCCCTTCTGCGATCCGCGTCATTAACTCAATAAGCTTTGGGAAATCCGATGGGAGTGCAATCCTTTCCATGAACGCCGTTCGAATAAACAAAAGCGAAAACTCAACCCAAACATGGTTTCGTCCGTTCTCTGCCTTCGCAGCCAGAAAGGCATCAAGCTCAGGGGTCCGCAAAAGGTTGCTGCGAACCAAAAGAAGCAAGACCGTGCGATGGAGCCTGCGCTGTGGGTCGGAATTGGCCGGGGCGTAAGTTGCCCAAGTGCCAATATCTTTTCCAAGCTGAGGACAGTACATGTTGATGTTTTCGAGCAAGGCAACTAGAGCCTCCAGGCGCAGTGGTTCAGACAGGCTCAACTCGTACAAGCGTTTGAAGATGCTTTGAGAAAAGGCAAGGACAGATTCTTGTTCGGATTGAGTCAAGGGCCGAGACATGCCGCCACCCTGACTGGCATTCGGCATCACCTGTTTCACTAGGCCAAGGATTTGACGAATCTGATGCTCCGGAGGCAGCATGCTCAACTTAATTTCAGGGGCACGTGGGCCAGCTGCTGTCAAGATGGTGGTAACCGAGCTGTCCATTTTCGCAGCCAAAGAGGACAAGGCCTCAATTCCAAACTGTGGCGTTGCGCCTGCTTTGGATGCTAAATCAGGTTCTCCAGTGGGCTGGACCTGGGAACGAGCCCCAGCTAGCCCCATGTTGCCACCAGCAGCACTTGCCGCGCCCATTGCGCCCGGACCGGACGCTTGACGTGGCATTCGCTGGAAACTGTCATAAAGCTGGAAGTGCTCGGCTCGAAGACCTCCAGGCTTGGGCCTGAGCTGGTCTGGAAGAGCAGCAGGATAGCGTTGACTGCCATTTCCAAAAATAGACATATCGTAAAAAGGCTGACCGGTCTGCTCGCGATGCTTCCTCCTCGTGTTGATTCCCTGTGCCAACGCTTCGTCGACATCTCGAACAGCCTTTTCGGTCGCGGCTTTCTCAATCAACATGCAGCCCAATTCCAAGTTGTCTGTGGCACAGATTTGGACGCACTGCTCAATCGCATTCTGCTCTTGGTCCCCCAACTTTTCTGGCCTTCCGATGCTAGCAGTTAGCAGCTGGCGCAAATGAGTGGAAACGCTTGAACGAAGTGGTTCGCGGCAGGTCACAAGAGCAAGGCTTCCAGCGAGGTTGGCAACCATGAGCTGACCAGCTTTGCGCATTTTGGCCTCGTCACTTTCCATTGCAAAATCCTTGGTCACAATTTCCTTCGTAGTAATGCAAGCAATAGTGACACTGCGTTCCACAACGGGTTGAATGATTTCCCTAATGGCTCTGTCCACGGCAATGGGAACGCAACGCTTCAGAGCCGCGCTGTTCAATCCAGCGAGCACGGCACCTCCTTGAGACTGCAAAAGCTGTGGAAGACTGGGGTTGACAGTGACGTAGGCAGCAAGGTTGGGAATGACAGTGTCTTGCTGATCTTCGCCACCTGAAGTACGAACTGACCCTTCGTTGGAAGCGACTGACATTCCGGATGAGATGTTCATTCCCGTCTTTGCTTCGGGGCTCCCTATCATGGAAGAACCCGACATTTGTTGAGCTACAGGGGCAGTCTTTGGCACGCTTGTACTCTTGATGTTGAAGTCTGGGTTGCGTTCTTTGACAGGAGCCACACGTGATGCAAGAATGTCTCTGCGCTGTGGGATATCCTCCAGCTTGATGCTCAAGTTCTTGCACAAGACCTCCACTTCAAACTTGATATTCATCTTGAGACCCTCCACGCCGTAGACAGCCCTGAAAACGCCAAGAATACCCATCAACCAAGGATTCGGAGGGCGAAACACTACAGAGTTTTTGGCTCCCTCGAGCGTCTTGGCCAAGAAAGGGGCAACGGCGATGAGCTTTCCTGTTTCGTATCCTTGCAGTAACAATTCTTTGCAGTCCAACATGATCTGCAAGATGGGGCGATTGCGGGCCAACGTAATCTGGCCAAGCCAAATACCAAGATTCTTCAAGTAACTTCGTTCCGAGGACGATGTAGTGATCTTGGGTGACCGCAATAGCTTCCCAATGTTGTGATACACGCTATCCAATATCGCTTCCACGAGGCCTTTTCCGTACTCGCCGAGGTTGTCCAACAGTGAGAGGTACAACTGATGGAAATTCGCCTGGGTACTAATTCGCTTGACCACCAAGAAATGACCCAGCCAGCCGAAATACTTTGGCTCCAACATCTCCTTCAATTCTTGAGCCTTTTGTTCCACGTTGGAAGGAGCAAGATTGTTGACGAGGAACTGAACACGGTCAAGTGTAACGTCTGTGGGAGCCTCGTGGACTCGGTCTTCATCGGCGCTTTCTGACACGGCCCTTCCTAGGTTGACTCCAAATTCAGCAACACGCTGGTTCGCTTCGGAAGGCGCGGAACCAGACGCGGCCGAAAGCTCCGAAGAGGACGCTTCTCGAGAAGGTGTGAGCGGCGCCTCGACACTCTTAGACGTGTGTCCTGAATTGGAGTCTGATCCAAAGCTTCCCGAACGAAGCTTGGTGGCGTCTGCCGATTCCTTGGGGGACGACACACCGGCCGGCCCCCCAGAAGCCCCATTGTTGGCGGCTCTATTTTGGCTTTCCGACATGGCGTTTTCTATCTCCGCCACAAGACCAGCATATCGTTCCTTCAAGTGAGGAATCTGTACAATGTGGGAGCAGTATTGTGGCCACTCATGTAGCCGCCCCTTGAATTGCTCCAGAGCAAACATGCCAAACTTGAACATTTTGCCAGAGCTGGAATTCTGGCCAGGTGGCGAAGGGGGTTTGCGCAAAGCCTCGAGCACATAGCGCAAAGCAATACCGAGCGTGATACTGCTCACGAGCTGCTCTTGAATCAGAGTACCAAAGAGGATACCCGTGATGCGCAGTTCTTTCTCGGGATACTTTGAGAAGAACCTGTATTCGTCGAATAAGTTATGAACCATGCAAGCAAAAATTTCGTTTTCTTTGGCATTTCCGGATGTTTTGAAGCGTTTCAACATCTCCACCACCTCCCCAATGCTCTGCTCTGACGTATAAATCTTCTGAAAGTAGGCCGTGGCCATTTCTTCCACGTCGTCCGAAGCCCCAGCAGACGACGGTCCGGCAGAGCGATTGGAGCCTCCAGAGGCAGCTCGCATTTGTTGTTGTTGCTGTTGATGCATGTGGATCGTCAAACTGGCCCGGAGAGACGGGTGGGCATTGGCACAGGCGTCCAAAAGTGCTTTGAGATTGTCGCCCAAAGTTGATCCATTGGATCCTTCCGTCCCAGGCGCGTGTACAGGCTGAGCCAACATGGCAGCATCCAACGACTGCAAGACTTGCAAGGACACCAACAAATTTTCCAGGCTGACAAGCGGTGCTCCTTTCCCGTCCATGGATCCACCTTTTGGACCAGCTGCTCCAAACGTTTTTCCAAGGTAGGTCACCAAGGCCACGGCAAACGAAAACGCCGAAGTCTTACTGCTGAGCTTCTCCACGAGCCACGGTTTGAGTTGCAGGTAGTCATTATCCGCCATGACAATGGCAATGGCGATACTAAACTCGGCATCCTTGCTTCCATTCAATAGAGACGCAATGGCTTCTCCCGGCGACGGCAACAACCGCGCAATGTTGATGATATGAACAATGGTGGCGAGCCTCACTTGGGGGCTTTCGTTGCTGGTGCTTCTCCACGCCTCGAAACACGCCGCCGTGACGGTACTGGGTGAAATCACGTAGAGACGCCGAAAAGCCGCGGGTCCATTCTGTACCCGCCGATAGGCATCGGGTCGAAAGAACAAGGGGATGAGTTCCCGCATGAGTTCCGTTTTCATTTGCATTCCCGCATTCACATAATTGTCGCTTCCAGGCTGTGTCGCGGCATTGGCGACACGAAGTTGAAGGCGCACCAATCCACAGAGGAGCGTTTCGGGGGATGTCAAGAGTCCCTTGACGAACAAATCGCGAACTCGTCGGTAGAGTGTGGGGACATCTGATAAATACAGCAATCGTTGCAAAATATCCATGGATGCCCAACAGCGCGGATTCAAAACCCCGGAAGTTTGTGCATTGGGAGGTGCCGTGTTGGCATCGGCGAGTTCCTCGTCATTGAGTGGTACGAGAAAGACAGTGGGTGGAACGGCCATGATGGATTCAATCAATGTGAGCTGTCCCAGTGTGTTTCTCCAGGGAGATGTGAACGCCGCAATGGGAGGGGATGCTTTGGCTCCTCCACGGTATAAGTCGAGTAGAGTTCGAAATTGAGTGACATCTTTGATCATAAATCCGGCAATATCAAATTTCCGAGCCACGGAGGGCCAATCCATATCTCCATAGTCTTCTTCTAGTATCTGCGCCACAGCCTTGAGATTCCAATTGTTGTCTGTCGAGAGAGATGTTGCGTCATTGTTTCTGCCAGGAATGAGACTTCCCAGCAATGCAGATGTAGCTACATTGGAGGAAACATCCGCGCCAGTACTCTTGTCGGAGAAAAAGTAAATGATGCGTGCAATGGCAGCTTCACTAAGATTTCCGCCCGTGCTGGTGACTTCTGCAATGGTTTCTCGTAGAGTACTCGCGGACCGTGTACATGCTGGTCCAATGTCTTGTAGTAGGTTCGCAATGCCAATACTGGGGTCGGACGCATCGGACACGGACATTCTATCGGCTACTCCGGGAATGAGGGAAGTGAGTGACTCCAATGGCAAGGATGGCTCCATGGAACCGATTTCCTCTATTTGATGCAGTTGCTTCAGTTTGGCAATGGTCTCTTCGAGTGCGGGTTTCTTGTCAAAGACCTAATCCACCAACAAACAAGACAGAAATGACCAAGGTGAGTCTACAAACTAGCTGCTAGACTAAACTGACACGTAGAGATAAGCTCCGGACACTTACCGGGTGCGTTGTCAGTAGATCCACCAGCGCCGAGACGAAATCCTGATCCCAAGTCCTGACGGCTTCGCTTTGGAAGGAGAGATTGATCACGTCCAGTAACGCCACAGCCTCCTTCTTGAGCCGAGCAGTGCTGTCGCCCTTGATCAGATCCGCCTAGTCGTAAAAAGTAGTAATAGTAGACGTTACAACAAGCATAACAACCGCAACAAGCTCAGTTAGACATATACATGTCATGGTCGAATAGAATACACAAATACATCAACAACAGTAATACGAAAACTCACCAAATACTTAGTAAAATCCAGTAGGACTGTATTGGGCGAAAAAAAATTGTGCTGCTTCCGTACTACCCGCCCGTAGACTTCTACTAAGTAGGCCCCGGAGCGGGGCGCCGCCCTCCCAAGAGTCTGCGAAGGCCCAGCGGTCGCCTCTGGTGCTCGGGGTTCTTCCGTCGCTTCTTCACTACCTCCTGTAATAATAAGATCACTATGTTGCTGCTGTGGTTGTTGCTGTTGAATGTCTGTCTCTGAATTCATGGATCAGCATGCTGTCTCATCAGGGTGAAGACAAGCCTCGGTTTTTTGTTGTGAGAGAGACTGTGGCCACTCACTCGTCAATGACACCGCCAAGGCAGCCAACAAGGATCGACCAGTCCACAGTGGTTGGATCCAGGAGAGCTCGCTCACCACACGCTCGACTCAGATCTTGGTCCACGCTACCCTCGCTTATTAGAATATTTAGTAAGTTGTAAAAACCAATTCAATTCAGCCATTGCTTTCAATCTATGCGTAGTATTAGATCTAGCTATTAGTACAAGTACATGTACCTGATCTCTTATTTTACTGTAGAGTTACATGTGCCGTATGTAGCAATGGTCTTGTTTGTTGCTCTCGCTAGCTACTGTAGCTAGTAGTGATCAAGCCAAGGCTCTATCTGTCGTATCACTGTTTGACACAAATGCATTCAGCTTGTGAGGACCAACTTCCTGTCTACTTGCTAGCTACTTAAAAAATTCAAGATTTCAGGTTGATTCATTCCAATGAGCCGTTCCAGCGACGGTAGTTCTATTGATCAAAAGGCATTGGCCATGCTTTGCCGTAGCTACGTACTGCAAGAAGTGCAAAAGATGCTATGTAGAAGCAAATTTCCATGGCAATGACAACATGACAACTAGCTAGATTGAATCATTCATACTGTAAAGCAAAAGGTATGTGGAGGAACAGGAGGGCTCACCATAAATTTTGAGGAGCTTGGTGGGATAGACGATGATGAAACATCATGCTGGTTACTCTAACAAATTAGTTTTATCCAAGAAAAGCCATGGCTCCTTGGCTGCTTTTACTGCTGCCAACGGACGGACGAGCATTGTTCTAAAAAATGAGAGCGTTGGGATGACGTCCAAAGAGCTTCAAAAGATTTAGGGTGTTCCCTCCAGATAGAGGGCCTTCCGGTTCAATCCGATCGGCAATCGGCAACCCCCAAAATCTTGTTGCTACCCCGTCTTTCATTACGTGACCATGAGGATCTTCCCTCTCTGTTTCTTGTCATCTCGTACCACAAGCCGAGCCACAGCAGCGGCATATCATGCCCATCGCTGCTTTGCTTCTACCAGTACTAGCGTGGACGAAAGCGATTGTCGGCATTTCCCGATTCGAGTGCTGGACCACATGGACGGAGCGGACTGGGACAATCGCATAGCATTACAGGCCAAGTGGACCAACGAAGAAAAGGGTTGGCAAGTCGGAGTCGAATGGAAGCATACACCCTTTGGTGTGGGATTGTTTGCCACGGACGACATTGCCGAAGGAACCATTTTGCGCATTGGTCAAAACGGGCATAATCTGATGCAGTTTCAGAGCATCCAAGATATTGAAGAATTTTGTCGTCACCCAGAAGATTATCCAGCACGTTTACGTTATGTTTCCGACTATCTGTGGGGATTTAGTTGGCAAAACACGGATGCCCAAGGCTACGACCTACCCGACGACACTTCTTCTGTCGAGGATCGATTCATGGGCATGTGGGTTCCCGGAAATGGTTTGAACCACAATTTGGTTCCCAACACGGTCTATCGGACACGAAAGGGTGGGACCCAAGAAGGAATAGTATTGGTGGCCCTGTGTGATGTCGCAGCCGGGGACGAGCTGTTTGATGATTATCGAAGACACGGACGAGCCCCCGAGTGGCTGAAAGAGTTTGCACGGGAAAAGCAGGTTTCTCTCAATTTTGCAGAGTGCAATGATTTTGTAGTAGATCCATCAAGTTAGAAAAGGCTGAACTTTGCAGTTTGTTTGGAAAGGAAAGTGTGTGGTAGATTGTTGATTGCAGCACAGAACAGCAAATTGGGCCAGCAGCGAACGGAAAAGTACTTAGGTACTGCTTGGTTCAAGCAGTAGAAGGGTGCGGATCCTTCCAATGCCCAGCCTCCTCTTTGCTTTGTGATTTCACGAAACTGCCAATTCACTCATGGATTGGATGTCTTCCTCTCGATCGTTTCGTTTTCGTCTCCCCGCCAACCGTGCCCATCGCCCGGTATCAAACCCGTAGGATTCCAAGGATCCTTCACACTCCGACGCGGACAATTCGGCAGAATGCTCCCATTCGATACTCTCGCCATATGCCTGTTTCAAGGCATCGACTTGATGTGGCCGAATACCCGACAGACACAGCCATCCCCCCGGTGCCAGATTGGAGACGAGGGCTGCCACCATGGAGGGCCGCACCAACTGTCCCACCATAATGTTGGCCACACAAATATCGGCAGCCGGAACCATACCGTAGGGTTCGACTTGTCGCGTGTGCAGTCCTTGAAACCGTTCGGCCCCGTATCCATTGAGTTGCAAATTGCGTTCGGTGGTCACCAGTGCTTCCGCTTCCACGTCGACTCCCACGACACGAGACGCTCCTTGGTGGAGGGCCGCAATGGAGAGAATGCCGGAACCACAGCCATAGTCCAAGATCACTTCTCCTCCCTTAATACTGCTGGAAGACAGCCATTCCAAACACAATCGTGTCGTGGGATGGACGCCGGTCCCCCACCCATTGCGGCCCAACAGCAATCGAATGGGTTGTAGTTTGCCAAATGTATGGTGGGGTGCCTGCTCGGCGGCCAAGATCAAAAAGTCCCCAATGGCGAGTCCTTCCGTGGGAAGTGTATCATTTTCTCCGGCTCGAATGGTGGAAGCCGTGGTAATGACTTGATTGTCCGTTTCCAGATTCTCCACCACCCAATCTGTCAGCGTAGTGGTAGTAGTTGTAGTATCATCCTTTTCATTGTTGCTGTCAGTAGTAGTGGCATGGCGGCAATAATAGAAGAAAGAGTTTGGACGATGTTGTCGCCTCAGCTGAGGACACTGTGCTGTTACCGGTAGGAAAGGAGTCGGTTTCTGTCGGATGGGCCTTGTTGTTGGTACTGGTATGCCTTGAAGATGACCTACAAAGGCATGGTTCGTTGAAACTTGAATGATGGCGCAGAGTACTAGCAGTTGGAGTCTGTATAACCATACTGATGAAGGATTTAGTGACTTGTACATCATGGCGGCAACTGTTGCTGCAGTTGGCAACTGTTGAAGGGTATGTTGAAGTTGAGATGACACCTCAAGCAGCTGTCGGATCTCTCAGATACTGAACAAGTATCGCTTGCCTGTCACTGGTTTACTCTGATTTGCTCTGATCGTCTCACCCCCACTCGCTTGGGCTGCGATCTTCGTTGGTGGTGGAGGTAGTTTAGTCGAGTGAGTCGAAAATGTGAGGAGGAAAAAGTACGTCAGTCCGTGGCAAACATGACACCACCACAGCCAACAATTCCATCCACTCTGCCTCTAAACAACCGACCATCGGCATTCAGTATGACGGAGGGATGGGTGAATGAATGAATTGAATCAATAAAACTACAGAACAAAAGCAAAACAAAGGCAGTGTCCAGTCCATTCCATTGACCAACCAAGTATGCGAGTTTTTGACAGCCGACTTTTATCATTTCCGGCTCTGATGATAATGATGAGCCTCATGATCTGTTCAAGGACCGTGACGGGCTTTCTGGCAAGACAAACCCAGCATTCTTCTTGCCGTCCAAAAAGATGTCTACATTATTACAACAGTCAATGGATCCAACGACGACCCTCCCAAAAGAGTATTATTGCCACACGAGCCGCCGAACAAGAGGAAGAAGAAGAAGACAGTGGAAGCACTACAGAAACAGAAGATCCATTTTCAGAATATCGCAACAAAAATAATATCAACGATCAAGTCGTATCGGGGATTTCAGGACAAGGTGGCATCAAAGTGGGTATATATATTATTTTGGATGGGCGTTGGTGTTGAAGCAGCCTTCATTTGACCAAAAAATCACATTCTGATGCTTGGTTGTTGTTCTTCTTTTGCATAGGTCACAGTCTGCACCATCCGAAATATGATCAACGACCTGATGATCCAACACACAATGACGGAAGGTACAGTTCCAGATCATTTATTTTGGTTATCAATATTCGCATGTTCCAAAACTAAACCAGGTCAACTACTTCTCTCTGCATGGAATGATCCATTTTTCAGTACCCATTCAGGCCATGGGACGAACGCTGACTTGTTCGTTGCTCATTGCCAACGGCATGCAAAAAGAACAGACGGTGCAAATCACTCTCAATTGTAAGCTGCATTCAATAATGAACATACTATCTATCTGGAAGCAATGACAAAACGAGAAAAGAATCAACTCACCAATATACTTTCTGTCTTGGCTGCTTGTATGTGTAGCCAATGGACCATTGCGTGGATTGGTGGCTATTGCCTCAGGCGGTGGAAAGTGCCGTGGTTTTGTCGGTAGTCCCATGCTCGGTGATATGAGTATCTTTGAGGCGGTCGGAAAGGGAGTACTTCAGGTTGTCAAAAATCACCCCGAGTGGCCAAGACCCTACAATGGTATTACAGCCATTCAACATGGAGACATTGATCGAGACGTTGGCATTTATCTGGCGGAAAGCGAACAACGATCGTGTGCCTTGGCGGCAGCCACGGCCGTCAAGGGCATTTTGTGTGTGGCAGCTGGTGGATACCTCATTGAACAATTGCCAGGTGTGACGGACGAGGAAGTGGCTCAAATCGAAAAGAACTTGGCCAAGTTGGTCGAAATGGATGGAGGTGACCAGCTACCCACCAATCTGCTCTTGAGCGGGACCACACCGGTGGACATTATGGAAATCATTTTGGACGGATTGGACGCACAACCATTGCAACAATTAACACCCAATCTCGAGTGCGATTGTACCGAAGATCGACTGCTGCGTGCAATCCGATTGCTGCCGGCGTCGGAAGTCGATGATTTGCTCGAAAAGGAAGAACAACTAGAAGCTCGATGTGAGTTTTGTGGCAAAGTCTACCGAATGGAAAGTTGGGAAGTCAAAGAAAAACTGGAGCAAGCGGACGGGGATCCATCACTAGACAGCGAGTTTGAAGACAAGGGCAAGAAATAGCCCCACTGGCAATACTTAGCTACAGTAGAAAATCTTCTGCTAGATGGAGGGCTTTACTATAGCTAGTAGCTAGAAGGTCATTGGACTTGCGGAGGTCGCTTGTATTTTGAAGTCATTTTTTTAAAGACGACTGAGACTTGGCTCGACTCCATGCCAATACAGTCGGCCTCTTGTGATTCCACCGACTCCCCAGTCTCGTTTTAGAGCTGCCTCGCATGACAACCCTTAGTGTCCTCCCGCACGGTTGAAGGAGTTAGACGTTGTCCGTCAGTGCCACTAAGACTACATGTACATCGAAACAGAAGTAAGACCGTAGTATGAATATCTACACACATGTACGTATTGCAATGAATGTCCCATGACCAAGAAGTAAGGTTAGGTTCCAGTGGCACTTGCTTTGCTCTCTGGCTGGGTAGGCGTGTAGTCCGTCTAACGGTATCTGCCAACTGTCGTCATGACAATCAGAGCCTGAAGGTGCATTCGTTTATGTATCGCTGTTGAATGGATGCCAACAAGACTTCCACGAGGCGACAAGTAGCAGCCTCTACGGATGGAACCAAGAACATTTTATCCAAGGGATCATTGGATTGTTTGCCCAATTGACACCCTAGCTTCATTTTGCTTTGATGTTGCTCCGGCAAGAACCGTCTGACCATGGACATGAGTGTGCTGACCACAACACCTGCGTTGAATATTTCAATTTCATTGAGTTGCAAGGGGTAGCTTCCAAAGTTATGTTCAAACATCATTTTGAGGAACTTGTAATCTGGAAGATTGGTCCCCTTGAAGGAATACCCTCCCCAGTCCAAGCAAATGATGGCACCCTGCCGGATGGCGGCAAAGTCCGGGCTAATGGCATGATGTGCGTAAAAGGCTCCCGCCATGAACGACCTCAATTTTTCCATGGAATCCGCAGCTCGGGTATCCAGTTTGGTCATGTCCACTGCAAACACATAGTTCCCGTCCAGCGGACTGAACCCAAAGTGCAAGAGATGACCTGGCATGATCTCAACCAATTCGGAAAAGCGCCTCTTGGCATCCGCACAAGTATCCAGAATGTCAAACTCTCGGCGAAGATTCTGAAAGTTAAAAGCCCTGTGAATGGCAGCTTGCAGGTTTCCCTCTTCGACAATGGCAAACTGGGTGATCATAAAGTCTGACAGGGTGTCTAACTCTGGCAGGTTAGCCATGGCTTCTTTGAGGTGTCTGGCCCACCGGTATTCATCTGGAGTGAGTTTCATCCGCCTGGAATCATTCTGGGCCAAGGGTTCCTCGGGCCACTCCAAGAGAACATTCATCGAGGCCCTATTATTATTCTCATCGACAGCAGCAGCCATGTCAAGTTCCGGTGGTACTAATACTGCTCCCTCTTCAGCTGCCATGCTCGTCAATCCTCAATCAGTAATAAGCAACGAGACTGTTCCCTTTATTGCGTTGTGTCTGACGAGGAAACTTTTACAGCCAAGCCACCAAAGGCTCTGTGTCACCACTGGTATGTATCTATCTCTGAATTGCAAGCATCAAGCACAGTGGGCAAGAGATGTTTCAGCGCTGAATCGAATCCTCGGCGTTCGGCGTTTCGCTACCTACCGTACGGTAGACTAGAAGCTGCTAGCTAGCTAGCTAGTAGTACAAGTACTCTTTTTAGTGAGTGCTCTTTTGTGGGTACGCCAGTCATCGTAAGACTACGACTGTACCAGTATGTTGCGAAGGAAGCCTCCTTTGCTCCTTTGTTCCTTTTGTTCTCTTGAAAAGGCTTCGAGACATCATCTCTGCAAGCTTATAGAAAGCTAGACAATTGTGCGTTCTATTTGTCTTTCCCTCAAATACATGTAAAGAAAAGAAGACAACAAGACAACAAGACAACAGCGAAGTTCTTGCTAGCTAGAGCCAGCATCTCAAAGAAGACAGTGTCCTCTTCTTAGTAGGATGCCTCCAGGTGAAGAAGAATGTCACAAAAACGGAACTAGTAACCCAGAAACAGGGTCGAAATGGATCAATGATTTCGAGCTCCTGACCATGGACGAATACCTGGACCAACCAGATCTGGTCGATAGTCATGGGGATGCCAGCTTTACCGGTGTGTGGGATGCTGCCAAGGAATTGGCCGAATATCTCTTGACCAATACCAAAACCAATACCAATACCAATACCAATACCAATATAGGATCTCCCACCAGGATTTTGGAATTGGGATCTGGAACTGGTTGGTTGGGAATCACTCTGGCCCGGAATGGATTTGGAAACAATAAAAGTAAGGATACCTCGATTATTGTACTGTCGGATAATCCACACAATGGCGCCGTCCAATGGACCCAACGAAACCTGGACGCGGCCAAAACGGTACAACAGTTGCCTCATTTGGACAATGTACAAGTGGTGCCTTTGGATTGGAACGATGTGGCTCAAATTCGACATGTTGCAAAGATGCAGCCGTGGGATCTGATTATTGGATCCGACTTGATTTATACCGAAGAGGGATGTTGTGCTCTGGCCAAAACCATGGCCGAACTGCTGAACCAACAACAACAACAATCCACAACCAATAATAAATGCCGCATCCTCTATGCCCATTCGCAAGGACGCATGCCCGAGTTGGACGTGCTTTGGAAACAACAGCTTCAGTTGCAAGGCTTGACCTTCCAGATTGTCGCTTCGAAACCACAATCCTGGCAAAACAAAGATCGCACAATTATCATTGGGGATATTGGGCTTGTTAGCTAGCCACTGCAACTACCAAGTGATGAACCGTAAGTTGTGACGTTGCGAAAATAAAAAAGGCTCCGGTCGGCCTCTTGGGTTTTTCTTTGAACAGATCTGATAGATGCCTTCAGGGCTCACCTGTCAGCGCAACGAAGGGTTGATTAGCACTACGGCATTATAACTACACTGACAACGGCGAGTCAAAACTTGCTCGACAAGTTGAACATACGAAAATGCTGATGATCTACAATACTACTAGAAAAGAGATAGGTTGTTTTGTTTTTTGTGTTTTGCGATATCTATAGGGGAAATTATAAAATAAGAGTCTACTCCGCAAAGTATTTGATAATAAATAGAGTGCTCATTGTTGAATCTACTAGCTAGTTGAGCCATTCGTGGTCCAGTGCTTCGGCTGCTGTGGCCCTGTATTTTGCATTAAAGACCAAGAGGTTTCGAAACAGGAGGTCATGCAGCAATCGTTTTCCAAAGGCTGCCGACGGAACATAGGCAAGCTCTCCAGCGAGAAAGATGACGACTCGCTGCTTGTATTCGGCAAAGTCGTCTTGCCGTAGAAATTTGGATGCGATATCCAAATTGGTTGTATCATAGCCAGCCGCCATGCCCAACAAGATTCTACCAACGGACCAAATGTCGGCTCGGCGAGCTTCGTACTTTTTGCTGGTTACATCCGGCGCCATGTACTTGTAAGTGCCCGCAATGCCCCGTGCGTACACCTTGTACTTCATGGGCAGTCCATGTTCCCAAGCAGAACCGTCGTTGTCGACGTCGACGTACGAAGGGTCGTAGTTGCGCGACAACTTGGCTAATCCAAAGTCGCACAAACGAATGCTACTAGCGTCAATTTTGTGACCACGACGCAATCTATTGTTTTCGTCCAAAGCGGATGTGCAGACTAAGAGGTTATCAACCTTTAGGTCTCTATGAGCAACGCCTCTCTCATGCAAGTACTTGACGCCATTGAGGAGTCCTTTCATGACCTGCTGTACGGCATCCTCCTGCGCGCAAAAGACATTGGTCTTCTTCATCAAGTCGCCGACGCTCATGGTGGCTCGCTCCATGACAATGTAAATGTTCTCCGGGGCGTTAATCGATTGCTGGAAACCAACAATGTTGACATGGTGCCCGTGGCGACTCAAGATTCCAATCTCTGTGTTGAGGAGGTCCAAGTGTCGCTTGGATCGCATTTGGGTCTTGGTCTGTACTTTGATGGCAATCGTTTTGCTGGTGTGAGTGCCAAAGACCTGTCCGAATCCTCCTCTGCCAAGCTTGACGTCAAGACTGTACTTACCGACTCGCTTGCCTTGACCCGTTCGCTTGTCCAACACTTCCACGGCATCACTTTGGAGGCGACCAATGTCTGGGAATTCCTTGCGGAACATTTTGTGATCGCTGTTGAGCTTTCGTCGCCACTTTTGCTTCTTGGTCCACCGAACACGTGCATCTCTCTTCTCCCAGTAGCTGACCACATCGTCACGCTTGACATTGAACACCCAGAACACTCGTCGTCGCAGAAACCCTGGCTTGTTCTTCTTCTTGCCAACCACACCATTCTCGCCGTCGTCATCTGCCACCACCAACTGAGACCGCGCTTGCTCCTTTTCCTGACGGGATCGTTCGTTGGCTTCCATCTCCATCTCTTCGATTTCTCGGTACAGATCGAACGACGGCTCCTCAGCGACGGCTCCAGCACTCGTCATGGTCGCGTGGTTGTTCGTCATGGTCGAATAGATCAATTAATTGAATTCAAAAAACAAAGTGACGTGAAATACGTTGCAATGTTTCCAGGATGAAAAAAGTGAGTGAAGTTGGAGGGGTGTGGAAGTAATGAGGAGTGTCGAGGTGTCGAAGGACATCATCGATGTCCATCAATCTTTCGAGCACCATCGTGACAAGAGAGTGCCGATTTTCAACCAAAATGTGAGGGGCGTTTTTTGGATTTCGACCGATCAGTCTGATCCAGTCACGATACATCATGATTGATTCCGAGTCGTGGATACTTTGTACTTTTTAAAAAGTGAGGTCTCGAGGTGCGTGGAGAAGCGTCCGTACCCGTACGCGTACGGTACCATGGTGCGCTCCGAGTACCGTGGATGAGAGCTGCTGTAGTACAGTACCGAAGCAGGAGGCTTGCATGTATATACCGGTGCTGCTTTTGTTGATCTCGGCGGTTTTGCGCTGGTGTTGGTGGCGTGTCTGCAGGTATATGGCATTTCATCTATCAGATTCTTGTGACCGACTTTCGAATTTCGCGAAGGGCTCCTACATGTGTACCTATGGTAGTTGGAATGTCGCGGTGCCTTGAATTCTTCTGATTGTTTTGCAGCTACTCCAACTGTTGTTTTCTCTGCGCCTGGAACATCCAACATCCAACATCCCAATGCCACAAGCTCTGCCCAAACATCGTAAATGAATCTCATTCGTGGATACCGTATCTTTATTAATCACGAGTTTGCGTGGCTCAGCTCCACCTCATGAAAATTTCGTTTCCACGTCGATCTAGCTAGAGTCTAGCGATGGCCGTCCATTTTTGTTTTGGCTCTTGCTTGATGAGGTTGCGCTGTTTCAGAAAGGAGAGAAATGGAAAGGTGCCCGCAAGCACTGGCCTCGATAATCCTCTTGCTAGAGACTGAGATCCACCATGTCGACTAGTAGCAGCGGCGAAAATGCTACCGGTATTCCCACAAGGATCCAGGAGAGATTGAAAGACTGTGTCTCCCACCACCACGTGACGATTGTGTGTGGCAAGACGGGATGTGGCAAGAGTACCCGCGTGCCTCCCTATTTGCTCGACACGTTGGGTGGTCCCATTCTCTGTACCCAACCGCGTCGCTTGGCCGTGGTAGCCGTCGCCACTCGTGTGGCCCAAGAACGAGGAGTGGCGTTGGGTGGTCAGGAAGTGGGGTATCATGTCGGACAATCGAATCATTCCTTATCCAGTACCAATCTGATCTTTACCACGGCAGGAATTTTGTTGGAAGAACTACGCGCCAATGGAATTGCCGCCTTGACCAAATACAAGGCTGTTATTTTGGATGAATGCCACGAACGATCTCCCGAGCAAGAGCTCTGTTTATCCATGTGCAAATTGTACCTCTTGCAAAAACAGCAACGCAAAAATCAACAAGATAAGATTCGTCTGGTACTCATGAGCGCTACCTTTGATCATGCCAGATATCGATCCTATTTTGCTGGTCTGGACACTCCCATTGATTTAATCACACTGGAAACTGCCAACCAAGTTGATGCACATTATGAAAGAGTGGAAACGCTCTACTTGGAGGATATTGTGTCGCTCATGACACACGATGACACCATGAAGCACTCCCGTTTTTTGAACAGCATGAGAATAGATCCAGACGAAGAACTGCAGGGAGAAGATGGAGGGAAATCCCTCTCGCTCAATTTGCTGAATTTCGTACGGTCGCTAGTGATACAACTGGATCGAGAGGAACCCATTTCGGGTGTCTTTATGATTTTTGCCCCCACATACCGCCATTTGGAACAAATTTACGACATGATCCATGCAGCTCTGTCGGTGGGAATGCACAATACACACCCCTGGAAAGTCGGCGTCCTACATTCGTCTATGGACATGGAAGATTGTTTGCAAAACATGCAACCTCCAACCGACAGCAAAGAATGGCAGCATAATCGATTTCGAAAAATACTGCTGTGCTCCGCCATTGCCGACTCGTCGGTTACCGTTCCAGGAGTTTCCTGTGTCATTGATTTGTGTCGCGCACTGCGTGTGCAGTGGACACCCAACAATTCCTATGTGGCCAAAACCTTGTGGGCGTCCCAATCCATTTGCAATCAGAGACAGGGGAGAACCGGCAGGACTTGTCCCGGCCGGTGTTTTCGATTGGTGAGCAAAGGATACTTTGTGGGACGACTCGAACCATGGGAGGAACCTTTACTGGCCATGTCGTCGTGTCGCAATGAAGTCTTGAAATTGCTCTGTTCCGCGTCGTCCGCATCGTCCTCCACCGACCCCGTCCAGGTTTTGAACAAATGCCTGGACCCACCTCCTCCGGCCGTGGTGGAGGACGCCTTTGTGTATTTGCAATCGATTGGGGCATGTGTGGCGTTGGGCAAAAAAAGAACCTTTGTTCCAACGAAAATGGGAGACTTGCTGGCAGCTTTACCCTTTGCCGTGGAAGACAGCCAAGTCATTGTCGCCGGAGCGCAAGTAGGTCTCCTCCACGAAACATTGGCTTTGAAAGCGATCATGAGTCACAAGCCAAACCCGATTGTGCACCATTTTGGCGACCAAGCTGTGAACGACGCCAATATACTCTGCTATTATGATCAAGCTCCCATTGGCAGTTCCGAGAGTGTTAACATGGCCAACCTCTCCGCGTTCTTGTACTGGGACATTTCGTGGAATCAGTTTCGAACCAAAGCCTCCGTGGAGCAGTTTGCTGTGGCGACCGGAGCCGCAACGCACACGACGAGTGAATTGGCCGATTTTGCCACTACCCAAGTTGACGCGACAAAACCTTGTGGCAACGTATGGAAATGGTGTCCGTCGTTGGAGGACAAGCATACCCAATGGTGCCGAGCACGTGGAATTAATCCTACAAGTGTTCGTGGTGTGGCCGAGTTGATGGACACTGCGTTAAGTGTTTTCTACGTAGCTGCCCTAGAGCCAGAGTGGTTGCGGGCCGCCGATCCAACACCCTTGTGGCGTCGATTCCGCGACTGGAAAGGCAGACAGCTGAATGACTATGTCGTCACAAAGGACGTGCTTGCAATGGTGTACGATTTTCACGGAGAACAAAGGCTCAGCAAGGTGCTTATGGCACTGAATGATGGTCCTGGCAGGGCCATCGGCGAAATGAGCAAGGAGGACATCTTGGAAGTAGCATCGCTTCCCAGCAACAAACCAGTCCAACACATCAACAGGCAAGTCAAGCTGCCACCTGCCTGCGTACATTTTCTTGAAGGGAATTGCATGTATGGCGACAAGTGCAAGAATTCCCATTCTCCGTACGCGCAGAGACCCATGTGTAAGTTCTTCTTCAAGGGTGGGTGCAACAGGGGAGCCAACTGTGTGTTCTCGCATGTCGACGCGGCTGTTCCCGTTGTTGTCTCTGCGGAACATGCAAACTTGAAAAAGGATCCCTTGACCAGCCTCGCCCCCACCATGCCAGAGCTCTACCTACCCGATGACCTGTTTGATTGGTTCAGCCAACGCCATGGAGGTCTCTTCCTACTTGGAGATGGAAACTTTGACTTTACGAGGAGCCTGTCAACTCTTGGCATTGGAGCTCGTGTCGCCTCTGATATTTCAGCCACTGCGACTCTCATTGGTGCTACGGTTGTGCTGCCTCATCTGGATGCTACAAGGTTGCATGTATCTGATATCGCCACACGCACAATACACGAAAAAAGGATTGACACGTTTCATTGGAATTTCCCCTTCACTGGCGACGAAGAACACGACGAAGGCAATGAATCACTGGTGCTAGGGACGTTCCACAGTCTCCATGAATTCCTGCGGAGAGCCGTCCACACTCGTCAAGACTTGGAAATGTTCACTCTCTCGTTGACATTGCAGGGAGATCAATTCTCTCGTTGGAATGTTCTCAAGTCTGCCATGCGAACTCGCTGGAGACTCAGATCTTGGGGATGCTTCAACCTTGATGACTTCCCAGGATACAAGCCTCGAAGAGCCGATGGGAAAGTTTTCCCAGCGAGTGAGATTCGGTTCTACGAATTCAACCTTCGTCGCGACGATCTATCCGGCAACTATTCATAATCTCTCATGAATGCTACTAGATTTTGCTACTCTTACCGTACGGTACACAGTGCATCGCCATATCGCTTTGTTTAGTTTAGAATCCACTACTAGCCATAGCTAGCAAGCATTCAGAGCAATAGATCGGCTGGTAGGTCTGCATTGTTCCCTTGATCATCTTGAATCCAGTTCGATGCGAATTACATTTTCTCTAGAGCTGCCAACATGTGTTCGCTCTCTGCGACATAGTCCAAAGGCTGCAGAGCATACACACTTGCCTTCACGCGTTCTGTGTCATTTACGATTTCGCTCTTCAGCTTGCACTTGAACACCCACTCAGTCTGTGTTGCCTTGTAGAAGAGGCTGTCATACCCGTCCTGATCTTGGTTGTGCTCCATGAAATTTTTATAGGCGTCGTCAGCTGTCATGTTGCCTGGAAAAAGAGTTTCGGCCTGTGGGTTGAAGAAGGAAACCCATGTGCTGGCAGTGTCATCCTCCACGGTTCCAGAGAAGATCCATCGGCGGACAGGATTGGGAAACGTCCCTTGGCACTTGTCGCAATACCAGCTGCCATCCGTGGTCTGGGTAACCTTGTACATGTTTTTGCTGCACAGTGTGAGAGGATGCATTGGAATGGACGACTTATAGAGTCGAGTTGCAGCACTCAAGTCCTGCTCTTACCAAGGGTCCCCAGAGTTTGCACAGGCAGGATACCACGCCCCTCCTTCCTTGTCCTTTTTGATGTAAGTGATGGTCCCTTTGAAGGTCAACCAGTCGGGCTTGTCCCCGTGACCCATGTGCTTCTGTTTGATGGCTGAAATCGTCAATCGCTCCTGAAATGGAGCCACCGTATTGCCCTTGCCACCCGAGGCACTCAAGCTTTTGGTCGTGGCAGCACCCCCATTGCTGCTCCACCACTGCTCCAGCCGCTGGACTTGGTCGGGGACATCGGCCACAGGTCGGACGCAAGCGCTTCCCGACAGGGACAGACTCTTGCCTCCAAAGTCACTGACCCGTGCACGTCGAAATGCCACCACGGGATGATTGGCATAGGTTTGAGCCGCCGAACCGACCTTGTCGGCTCCCCACAGTGTCATTTTGATTTCGACGCTGGAATCATCCACCAGAGTCAGATCGCACTTGTGCAGTTCCTTTCCCGTTTTCTTGCTCATGATGGCGGTTGCTTCCCCAATTTCCTTGACAATGGCCAGCACATCAATGGTCTTGTTGGCTGGGACATGTTCAATTTCCGCAATGGAGGGGACAAACTCATAGACGTTGTGTTGGATATCCGTTGCGTCGTGCTGCGGATGGATTTCACTGTTCTGGTCAAAGCTGTATTGGAGATGGATAGATGAGAGTGTCACATTTCAACTAGCCGGACAGCTTCACTCATGCATTATGTGCAATCCAATCGACGAACTCACGTGATTTCAAAGTTGCTCTTGCAAGTATTGTACTGCATATTGGCCACTTTGATGCGTCCTCCCGAAAACGAATAGACGCTGCCTTCTTGCAAGCTATGGTAAAACTTTTCCACGGCTTCTTTGAAAAACGTGGCCCGAACGTCCACTCCACTCGCATCCAACAAGTCAATGCTAAAGAGGGATCCATCTCCTCGGGCATTGCTCCACGTCTTGATATCCGATTTGGCAGTGATGCGAGCCCGAATGGTCCATCGGCTTTGATACATGTTCAAATTGGAAATGGGCGTAAACGCCGAGCCTCCGGGCGTGCGGGCAATGGGAGCAGCACTGGCGCGGCGTCCTCCTCCTCCATAGGGATTGCTATTGTTGCTCTGGTTGTTGTTGCTGTTGCGTGGCTTATTGCTGCCATACAATCCCTGGCTCCCGTACAATTCTTGTGGTTGTTGACTCCCGTACAGTCCCTGAGGTTGCTGCTGATGCTGTTGCTGTGGAGGAACATTTTCGGCGCCTGCTGCTGCAGAAGCAATATCAACGGGATTTCCAATGCGTGCCATCATGCCGATACAGTCGACATTCAACAGAACGACGAGATTGCGTCCTCCAATGACATTGGTGACAAATTTCTGTACGAGAATGATGGAGTGTTGTTGGAGCGATTGGTTGTCGACGAGATGGTTGATTTGCGTGGCCAAGAGTCCCTGAATGAACTTTTGGCCATCGGAAATGACAATCTAATGGTATGGTAGAAAACAGTAATAGAGAGAGAGAATGAGAAGGAATGATTCAACAAACATAGACTTTGGCCATGGACGAAACTGAACTAGAGTACTCTATACTTACACGGTATCGATCTTGGGCTCCCGAATTGTTGACTTTTCGAATATTGAGGACCTGAAGCGTTGGCTGGAAGGACGGATCTTCATCCGAGTTGCTCATTCGCGAGATGCGAGTGATGGCATTGGGTGATAGAGATTCCATGGCTGACTCTTTGGAACAAACAGAACACTGTCGTCAATGGGGAAGCTTTTTCTTCTCGCTTGTTGTTGTCTTTGTAGCTAGTAGAAAGGTGAAAGGAACTGTAAGTAAATATTGAAGTCTACCGCAAGGGAGACAAAGATGGATAAACCAGCCAACAAAGGAACGACAACGGAAGGTAGCTTCCACACAAAGCAAGACGAATTTTGCCAGCCGCCTCAAAATTCACCGTCGGCAGCAGCAGTTTCCAGCTTCCCTTCGACCAGAAACATTGGACACACAACCGCACCGAAGAGGAGCCTCCTTCCATCCGCCACCACCAGCACAACATATCATAGCAAGCATTGCAACCGGCACTTACTCTTTCTTGGTTTCACTCCTGTCGAATGTATGTCCAAAGGATCGAGTTGTGTTGACTTGTCTTTGTGATGGTGCTCCAGATTTTTCATCTTCTTGAAACCCGCCTTTCTGTCATTGGAGAAAGAATTAGGGCATGCCTGACTGATTTGTCCACTGAGAGGAAGAGTTCACTGAACATTGACACAAAGCAGATCCTGCAGACATCAATCACAAAAGCAGCAGCAACGAAGCCAACAACCAACCGCACCAACCGCTTGCTATTAGTGTTGCCCACTTGTCCGTCTCGAAGACTCTCTCCTCTTCAATACAACTAACAAAACTCATCAATCAACAATGCCAGCATCTGCAGGACGCGTGCGTATGCCGCACAACAATCGCATGACAACGTCCGCCACACTCAAGACGACGGACATTTGGTCCAAGACCATTGGCCATGACCCCTACGCCAACAACCAAGAGCCCGGTGTATCGGCAGAACAAGCGGCCGAAGATGCCCAAAAAGCCAAAAAGGTCATGGATATGGCACGCAGTCAGAATTTGACCGATGGCGCCGATCGAGACGATTTTGCCCGTAAAATGTATTTGGGATTGAAAGGTGGTAAAAAGAGACGAGCCGATGCCACGGCACAAGTACAACCGGCACATGTGCCACTTCCCGACGAAGAGGATGACAGTGACGAAGAAGACGAGTTCGTGCATGTTGTGGAAAAGGAAGAAAAACCCAAAAAGGAAGAAAAGACGAAAAAGCGTGACAAGAAGAAGAAAAGAAAGAGCAAAAAGAAACGACGAAAGGATGACAGCAGTGATGACGACAGTGATGACGATAGCAGCAGTAGTAGTGAAGAAGAGGAACGACGTCGCAAACGAAAGCGGAAAAAGAAAAAGCACAAACGACGATATTCCAGCAGCAGCTCTTCCGAACAATCCGATCATTCAGAGCAAGACGACAAAAAGCGACGTAGAAAGGATCGGAAAAAGAGCCGACGAAAGGAAAAGTAGTGAACCAGGATGCAATAATATACATTTCCAACATAACAATTATCGGGTTTCATTGTATGCAATCAGAATCAGTGTGGTCACGATTCTATCCCGTTAGGGGCATGAACAGCCTTGCAAATACCCAATGGGTTTGACTTCACGCTATGCATTTGTTTTGGTTAGCTTTGTTTATTGCTGCATGACTAGCTAGCTACGGTAGTATCTTTCACTTTGTCATAGATGGCACGCACGGTCCAGGCATCTAATGCCGCATAGGTTCGTTGACGCAGGGACAAAGGTCTTTCATTCCACTGACTGCACTGCTCCGACTTATCCAACGGCTTGCCCAGATACCGTTCGCAAACCCGTGACAAACCTAGGCGACTCATTTTGTGGTCGGACGAGGCAGCCAACGTCTGAAGGTCCTGGACGTTTTTTACAGGTTGGCTCCTACCAAACCAACTCCCCGATGTCCGCAGTTTTTTGATATCTTGTTTACACGAAAAGCCCACCATGGTAATCGCTGGAAACGAAGCAAAGAGGCGACCGATTGTCTTTTCCAGAGCATCCGCTCCTTCCGGTGTGCTCGACAGAGTGGGAATATCAATCAGTATCACTCGCTTCAATGACGCAATCTGGCAAACATCCACGCCGCCGTGCTCTTGGTTCCATTCCGTATCAAAGCCAAACACTTTGTCGTCTTCCTCCAATTCTTGGACTGCCGCGAGGAGAGCTTTGGGGGACGACAGCAAGTCGGGTGGACTCCCTGGAAGCAAATCTTCAAATTGCAGGTATGTCGCGCGGCGGGCTTGTTGCGCCTGCAGTATGGCTTCCTGATCCAACACATACTCCAAGTCGAATGTCTCTGCAAAGCGTTGTGCGGCATCTAGATTCCCCGTTCCCACCAATTGCTGCAACGCGTAGTCGCGAATCTCGGTTCCCACCGTGGAGGGATCATAGGTTGTTGTTGTTGTTGTTGATTGTACTACTTTTTGCGCCGCCTTGTCCACGCGGTCCACTTGCTTGATCAATGGAATGGCGCCCTTTTGAATCACCTTGGTAATGGTACTACAAGCGTGGAGATATCGCGCTTCCAAGTAACGAGTCTTTCCACCCTGTTCGTAAAAGGTCGTCGCAAATTGATCGGCTTGTCGATATCGTTGCGTTTGCATGGCTCCTTCCAACAATGCATCGACGGCGCTTGGATGATCGGGAGCCGACGCACAGATTTGTTCGGCTGCATGCCACAAGTCATGGTGAATGGCAATTTTTACTAGTCGCTGGGGCTCGAGTAGTTGCCATGGTTGCAGCTGCGCGGCCAAAGCCAGCGAAGAGGAAGCATCGGATTTGGAAACAACAACTTGGTCTGATTCATTCAGACCCAGAGTCTGACCAAGAATGGTGACAACCTTGCCTGCCATTTGATCGTCGTGGAGGCAGTTGACTTGTTCAGCCTTTGCCAAACGTGCTAGAATGCGCCAATCGTTGGACTGAAATTTGATGCTTTCTGTAGCCTCTCGAAAGACTGCCGCAAATAGACCATGCGAAACGATACCCAATGATTCTGTGTTGTTACCTTTGAAAAGGATAGCGACCATAGCACTGGCAATGGCGCGATTGCCAGATGGGTCTTTGCAGGGCTCCAGCGCCAGACTATGCCCGACCAATAGGGTAGCAAGTCGACCAGAGCTTGTGGATCCCAGCAGCAACGCCTGTGTGGCTGCCTCCAGCGCCTTTCGACTTTCGGCACGCCAATTTTTCCGTAATGGACTCGATACGATGATTTGATGGAATTCGGATCGAACGTCCAGAACCGTAGCTGCAATTTGAGAGTGGATGGTTGGTTCAGTGTTGTACACACCAGGCGACGACTGGATGGTACCACGGGCACTCAAGAAAGATTGCAAACAGGAGAGAATGTCGGCAGGTTTCCACTCTTTTTGTGCATCAATTGGCAGAGATAAGCATCTCAGAATGGTCTCCAGTCGTTGCTGTGAAATTTTGCTTTTCTTTGGTAATGACGGGACGGTATTCTTGAATTGGTGGTGGTTGTCGACATCACCAGCACTGCCTGATTTCATGCTGCTCATTGTGGTTCTTCTTGAATAAATCTGTTGAGGAAAGCGAAGTTGAGACACAGCTGTCATTGATTGACTGCAAGGATAATATGAATGATGAGATCCACCAGAAACACTGATTGGGGAAGCTCGTTGAAAACAACTGCCACTGGTTGACACAAAACGCAGAGCAAAGGACAAGCGCATCCAGAGAAGAAAAGCTGAAGATACACAGATCCTCTGAAGGCGCATTGGGCATTCCAACGAGTTAGGGATGCAGGAGGGCCTACTTCATTGGGCGCAAACTAGCTCCTAGTGCAGTGCCGTACGATGTAGAAGAGCACAATGAAGATGGATTGCGACATTGCGACGGCTGCAACCAAAAACCGAGAAAGATACAACCGCAATAATAATTCATATGCCCTCTGGGTCGTCTCCGTTTCCAGTACTAGTTTAACTCGTTTACTAATACAGGATTATGGTGAATAGAATCGAATGAATCATGTGGCTTATATTTAGGGTTTAGGTTTGGCAATTTTGAAGTCAACGTGGTATATGTGAGGTTGTAAAAGTTTTGTGTGATAGTATGTGTTTAAGAGAGGATAAATCCCGAATGTAATCAACCAAATGGCGGTGCCCTTCCAATGCAGAACCGCAACGTCTTCTGGTAGACCCACGACAGCCAACCCATGTGGAATGCCCACAGTTTGCGCTCATCAAGGCGAACAACAAGGCAACCAACGCGGTCCCCAGCAGAGCACCTCTTTTTGGTACTCCCAGGCCACCAGGCTCGTTCCAAACGAGAGCGACCCCTTTGCAGGAGTGCACACCCAAAGCAGAGATGCTTTCAAGCAGACAGCTTTTCCAGGGCAGGTGCAAAATCATACCTTGGCTGGAGATCCAAGTGCCCACCAGTCGATACGACACCAAAGGATTCCCAGCTGGTCCATTCCCGGACCACTCTCTTTCGGTACTCCCAGTACCACCAGGCTGAAGCCAAACTGAGAGGATCCCTTATGGCAGCAATGCACCACTCGACCATCCTGGACAACCACACCAATGGTTGACAGACAGCTATGAAGCCCAACCACAGGATGTGCCCAAGTCCCAGCCACACAAGGTCTCAGTCTCCTCTGCTCCAAAGCAATGTGGGGAAGTTCCATTTAGTGTTTGGCATGTGGTTTCCATCATGTGTTTGCTTCCTCATGATGGCCCATAGGATTGGGACACTCCAGTCTGTGCTGTAGCACCGTCCCTGGATTTCGTACGGGCAACTAGACTACGTCACTGTCTGGTACAGCCACATCCATCCCATCCGTCAAGGACATGATTGCGGTGCAAGAAGGCCCTCCACTAGAGCTTGCCACCGCTGAATTCGGCCTGTGGCAAAGCCACGAATTTTGCCTCATATAAGAAAAACAAACAACACTATGATAGCAACCAGCACCCGCCGACACCTATCTAGTCTGGCCATGCTGATGAAGCAGGCAACCCTTTGCCTACCTTTGGTCCAGCAACCAACCAACCATGTGCAAGTCCTCCACAGTTGAGATCCCCATCTTGCATTGTGTTCCACTAGCAGCGTGCTGAGTGGCCCATGAATTTTCCGTTCATGGGAGAGTAGTATTGTAGTTAGTTAGTAACTAATCGTACATCGTGGCAGACCCATGAAGCGAATCCATACGCACTCGTGGGAGCGATAAATCTAGGAGGAGAGCTCTGGATCCGTCAGAGATAGCTCAACAGCTATGCTGGCCTACAACCAGCAGCCGCAGTTGGCTTTCTCCCAGCAAAGCAGCAAGAAAGGATCGTCCTTTCTACCATAGTTAAGAAAATAGTCGAAAGATTGAGACCGATCCTGATTAGCTTGTAGCCTCCTTTGATACCGCAGCAGTTGATACCAATCCGTTGAGGCCGGGCAGAAGCAGTAGGAGGCAGCAGATAGTACTGTTCCCAGACTTCCACTGCACGATTGAATACGAAGGCTCCCAGCTCCTAAGGAGAGCTGCCCAAAGGCCCAGCAGAGAGCTCTTCTGGCCCTCTGTCTGACTGACAGGACAAGTCCTTGGTTTGGTGCTATGGAGGTGTTGGGACACTCCTGAGGCACGACAAGGCTCCCTGAACTGCCTGACTACCGCTGTCCCTGGAAGGGTTTCAGCGAGATCCAGTCCACTACTTGGGTATTGGAACTGATCCTTCAAGAAACTTATTGATTCCTATCGCATCATCATCTTGAAACAGTCACAAAATCAGTTCAGCAAAACCTCAAACATCCTCATCCTACCTAGCAGCCAGCCAACCATCAGCCATCTCTCCTGCCCACGTAAGTACCTTCTATTTTACCTTCTTCTGTTTGACAATGTTTTGCCTTTCAACATGGCCACTCACTTCCTCTTTCGGACTTCAAGTTTTCAGAACTCCTTCACCATGTCTTCCCAAACACCCGACATCAACACACGTCGTCGCAATCGTACCCCTACTTCCGCGGGTATCAACAGCAAGAAGAAAAAGGCCGGCGGCAACAAAGCAAGAGGTCTTTCAATTCCTGTGAGTTCCACGCTGTAATCCCAGCAACCTCAAGGAAGACGAAGAATCCCCTTCCCCAGAATGTTCCTCAAGTTCACAGGCTTTGTTGAAAGAAAGCTACCGGGTGTATAGTACAACCGACGCAAAGACCACCCGTCAACGGGTTAAACCCAAAGACATGATGCCTTTTTCAAGCCCTCTCTGACAAGCACATGATCGTGGGTATTCAAATTGGTGGACCCCGCTTCTGCTGATGGGGAAAAGCTCCTTATGTACGAGGCCACCAAGGTACTCTTATGACCAAAGAGGCTTTGTTATCATGTGCCCAGAGGTGAAGTTGACGAAGAAACTGTGAACGTTTGTTGCCCCAGATCCCAACCCCAGAAATGCCTTGAAGTGGTTCAATGAAACCTTTAAACCGGCCTACATGCAATACGTTACGACCCGGCAAAGAAGGAGAACCCTGGTACAAGTCCATGACACCTGGAGTGAGCAGATCACCCACTCCGACATCATACTCACCTTGTGACGGATTCTTGGATCGATCAAGCGAATACCGCACTGTATCCGAATTCCTCAAGGACGACAAGGGCCATGTGTACTCTATTGGCCTCGTGGTCAACTCCGGCTTCACGTCTTACTCCGTTGGTTTCACCGAAACAACCTTGGATGCATCGGACTTCGGTCGCATCGGGCCATCACTGGTGCCCGTCGCAAACATTATTACAAGCCACTATGCACGCACACCATCCCCCGCCCCACCTCTACTCCACCAGTTCGCCTTCAAGCTCCACACTGCCCTTCCCCATGGTTTTGCACTACCCCCGGCATGAACTTTGAGCCTTCTTGGGAACTCTTCTCGAAAAGCACCAGCAGGAGAACGGTGGTAAGTCCCCTACAGTAGCTTCCCGTATAAATCCCCCTGCCCTCACTTTCAAATCCTAATACTGGACCTCCGAATATTATTCGCAAACCATTCCCAGTTCCAATGCAACCAAATACGTCATCTCCCGTTCCACCTGTTCCACGAACCACGTCGGCCAAAGTGTCACCTGCGAATAGTCAGAATGATGACACTCCACATGGTATGAAGAAAGCTGCCGAACTTGCTCACGATCCTATTACCGAATACCCCAGTACCGAAGAAGACAGGAAACAGAGAAAAAGAAGACACCAAGCTCCCAGCGGAAGCGAACCAACCCTCCACTTA